AGAAGGAACTGGTGGCCAACCTGAGTCAGATGGTAAGGACTGAGTGGTATCAGACATACAAGTGAGTGTGACTGCTATGACCTTATCATATGTGAACTGGATGTTACTTGATTTCAAGATAAGAGGTAAGATGGAAAACTTCCGTGTCCTGGGCCTTGTGTTTCCATATGATTTAATTACTGACAAATCAGTTACAGGGGGAATGATATTTAGAGGAGTGCAGAATCCCAAACTAGCAAGGAATGGATCTATTTTAATCATTGGTGACTAGTTTTCCCTTAGTTTTTTTTTTTTTTTTTTTTTTTTTTTTTGTACTGGGGATTGAATTCAGGGATACTTGACCACTGAGCCACATCCCCAGCCCTATTTACAGACAGGGTCTCACTGAGTTGCTTAGCACCTCACTTTTGCTGAGGCTGGCTTTGAACTTGTGATCCTCCTCCCTCAGCCTCCCACTGGCGTGCGCCACCATACTCAGCTTTCCTTTGCTTTTAAGGTAAAATATTAGCTTTCTTTTTAGAAAGCATTCTTTAAAGGGGTATAATCAGGCTGGAGTCTTTTCATAAGAGGAGTACTACTAGTGTGATGACACAAGAACTAAGGATACATAATTAGGAGGATAAAGGTATCCTGGGAGTGCTGTTTTGTCAAGGAGGAGTTAAAGTTGTTCTTTGTGACTACCTACAAGAAATCTAAGAACAGATTTCAGCTGGATATAAGTAAGCATTTTCTATCAATTGGAGCAGTCCTAATATAATGGACATCCTCGATAATGCTTCCTGCTGTGAAAGGTCTTTGGGTACATACATGTACCCAAAAGAGCAAAGAGTAAATGAAGGTGGGGGGAGTAGGTGTGTTTATTCTAATGGAGCTCTCTCTCTATGAACATATGAGGTAAGAAATGAAGTAAATATGGAAAAATGTCCACAGTAAATATGGGGAAAATATGTAGAGTAGACAATGGGCAGGAACAGGGTAGAAGGAAATCCTAAAATGTATGGAGGCTTGAACCAAGTCAATCATTGGTTGAGTACTGGATTGGTATGGCTAGTTAGTGAAGATTCAAAACAAAAAAAGAAAACAAACAGAAAACCATTCAAAGCACTGGTATAGGTTTACAGCTTTTATTTATTTATTTTTAACCAAGTATGGCCTGATAAGTTTTTCGGAGGCAGTAGAGAGCACTTTTCTTCTCTGAGTCTGAAACCTATTAGAATTTGGAAGGAAGATACTTGGCTGTGAGTATAGACTAACACTAGCTCAGTAACCTCAGAAAATTTCATTGAACTGTCTGTGCCTCAGTTTCCTCATCTATAAAACGTGTATAATGATACCTACATCAAGTTTCAAGCATGTGAGCAGTCCTATGTTCATAATAAATGCTCTATAAATGTCTGCTGTTAGCTCTTATTTGAGACATAGATTCATGAGTCAGTTGGAAGATAAAATGTCACCATTAACACTGATCAAGCAAAAATCAAGATTGTGGCTTTAGATCTGTAGCCAATTGAGTGTGCTAATACTTTACTCCCATAACCTTACTTATCAAGTCATTGGCTCACCTGGATAATAAGAAGTCTTCTCTGTAAAATCTGATCTCTTACCTGCTTGGCAGAGGAGGTGAACATCCTGTCGGATCAGATGGCTTTAGAAAGTGAGAAATCCAAAAGGGACTAAGTTGAAAGGGCTTACCTTTTTCTTTTTTGAAACTTACTAAATAAAATATTTCACTGCCCCTCCCAAGGCAAGGAGTAAATGAAGGTGGGGAGGGTAGGAGTGATTATTCTAGTGGAGCTCTTTCCTTATGGAGATATGAGGGAAGAAGTAAAGTTTTACCCTCTATAGATGACAGTAAAATGGGGAAAAGAGCAACTACCATTTCAAATACTATCATTTTATATCCCCAAAATATAAAGGATACAATCTCACAATGAATCAAAGTCCTTTAATAAATTTAGCTTTCTATAACATTGCTTCTATTTTCACAGGCCTGCAAAATTTCATTAGGATTTGGCAGTAGTCCCTGGAACTAGCTTTTGGGAGGCACTGAACTAAAAGTCATCTATGACTTTTAAGGTTCTTCTAACCAGGAGATGTTGTAATTTTATGAGAGAATTTCATTTGTACCTGGTTCAAAGAAGAGAACCAAGGGACTAAACTTGGGTCAAGGGAGAGACAGATCCTGAAAATGTGTTTGTGAAAGGGTTGGCAGTCAGACTCAGTGCAAAATATATATTTTTTTCTCTTTGGAATCCTTAATCATATTTCCCAACTGTCAATATGGAGAAAAATCATCTAAAAAGGCCAGAGGGTTATTGCAAGGAGAACTTGATGTTGAACCTCTGTGCCCAACCTTGGGCTTTGGGATTTCCATTTTCAGCTTATGCACCATGAGAGTTAGAATAAAAGACAAAAATGTCAATTTGGGCTTTTCTCTCAGTTTTAACATTTCAAATATATTCATTTCGTTGTCTTAATATTTTATTACCTGCTCATAGTTCACTTCATCTCACGTGTGGTCCCACTCTCTTCCCGACTCCCCCCCCCCACTCATGAACTGATGAAACTACATTGCAGAAAACTGAAATAGAAAACCACATATCCAAGGTGATTTATCGTTAATGTGAAATTCTATCCTAACCTGAAAGTCAAGGAGCAGGAATCCCAAGCTATTTCAGAATTCATATTACAAGACAATCAGATGCCCCCAAACCACAACATCTTGTCCTCTATTAATCGTACACTGACAGAGCCTTTTGGTTGCATTCGTATTTACAAATAAATACAAACATATGTCACCATTTTTTATTGATTTTGGGCTTTCCTAGGAAGGAAACACTGTTAAATTATAATAAATGGTGTCAACTAAAACAAATAGCGCAAAAGCCATTAAGAAGGCATTTGTTGCAGAACTTGGTTTGATTTGTTGGCGTCAGTTGAAATCATGTCAAAATAATGTCTTCGGAAACCAAATAAAAATTTGTTTGCAAATTTGTCTGCAGCAAGCATTTCTAGAGCATAAAAATCCTTAAGAATCAATACGGTTTTATTCAATATGCAAATCAACTGAAAAGCATTACAGCAAAAATTCTATTGCTGAATTATATGATAGTGTTAGTGAATTAATAAATAATAATAGATGATAAATAATATAGTGGCTGAGTTATACAATACATTTATGAAGAAGTAGAGGAAGAAAAAGATTAAGGGGATAGTCTTGGGAGAAGATCAATTTTTAGATAAGCTAAAATAACATTTTATATTCAGAAAATTAATGGAGTTTAGTTCTATAACTCACAAAGTCCAGTTAAACTAAATTCCACTGCAGCCTTTAAAGAAAGAAAGGAGAAGCAAAATGCTTAGGTCTGAAGTGATAACCATTTGGTTCTAATATTAGTCAGGCTGCATCTGTAATTTGCATAACTGTGTTTGCCTTCCAGGTAATTGGGAATTTAATTGCTATCAGAATAAAATTTGAGTCTTATTTCCAAATGATGTCAGTGCAATGTATTCCAATGTGCATTTTTGAGAGTCACTGTAATTAAGCAAATGGGAGGGCTGCAGTTGGAACTGAGCTTTAGTATGAAAGAAAGTATTTCTCTTTGGCATATACTAGGTCATCTTTCTCCTCATCTTACTGTGTTATCTATGCTGAATTGGACCTTCCTGATCCTTTCTGCTTCCCCTTCATACTGAAATAGATCCATCTTACTTTCCAGTCCTTCTAATTTCATTCCTAGTATGTCCAAAGGACCCAATTTGATAAATTAGTAATGTCTTTATTCCTTACCTCTCTCAGTTAATTTCTGTTTTTGCTAAGTAAAAACTGAAAAGCAATCCAAACCTCCACCACCATCTATTACCATCCTTTCCTAAAAGGAAAGGCATTTTAATGAATCCCTGCAATAGACGCAGGAAGGACATAATCTCAGAATAATGGACAGTTCTTTTTACTGAATATTATTTAGCTGTATGACAAACTTATTATGGTAAACTTGCTTTCTAATTTTGTTAAAAAAGAGAAACTTCACCACAGCCCAGAATTATTTGCAAAACTGGTATTTGAAAACATATTCTAAACCAACAGTATTGCTGTGGCATTAAGAAGGGAGTGTGATGTTTCTTGTGACTGATTTTCTGTGTTTGGGTGAATTATAGTTTTACAAAAAAGCAGGATAGAGCTATAAGGCTCATTTTAGGGATCAGACAGCAGCAGCAGGCTCTGCAGTAAAGTAGAAAAATGCATGGAATATAGGAATGACAAGTAAGACCAGATCAGTCGGGAAGTATGGTTTGGTAGAAAGGGTCACAGGGGCTTTGCAAACATGGCTGCTCAAGGGAAATCCCCTGACTCTCACAGCCTCTTTGACATGAATGAATAGAATTATAGGGCATTGTGTGGTGAAGCTGACCTTTTGCTGTCCATATCACACTGTGCAGCCAGCCCTGTTGTTGTAGTGATTGGTTGCTACATTTCCCCTTCCTCTGTAAGATACTACTGATATTACCCAATTCCAGGATGGCAGGATAGCATTTTTTATTGTTTTGATTTTTGCAAAGAATCCCGTAAGCAAAATCTTCTAGAATCAGGGAGAGCAAAGTTACTAAATTATGCATACATTGTGTGTACATAATTATATTTGTATGTATATTCCAACTACCAATACAGATCATACCAGTTTCTATTTTTTTTCTTTGCAAAAGAAAAAAAAAAAAACAACCAAAAAAAACCAAAAGGCCCGAAAGTGCTAAATCAAAGCTTGAACCAAATGCTGTCAGGGTTCTGGCTTTGGGGATTGTTAGAAGCATTATGAGAAAAATCCAACAGAACAATGCCCTGTTGTTAGTTGTGAGTGAAACCTGGAGACCATCAGAGGGAGTACTTTAGCTGCTGTGAAAGGGCTCAGAGGGAGACAGATAATAAATGTACAACAAACAATCCAATGTCAGAAATGATCACTATTGCAAAATGAGACTGAAAGCTTTTTTTTTTTTTTTAGCAATTTCTACAGATGAAGTTCTAACTCTGACTATGGTCAATATTAGCTGGCTAATTCTTTGAATCTGGCTAAGGTGGAATCTTCCAAGGACAAAGAGGATTTGCTCACTAACCGGTAAGAAAGGTACTGGTCATGCATGCTTAAATGTGCTAATAGTTCTGGTCTTTAATGGTACCAACTTAATGAAGATGATGTTATGCATTTTTAATTGTTCTCCTCTGATTTGACATTAGCCATGCCTTTCTGACTAATATGAAGATTTGTTGGCCAGCACTGACATTAGCTGAAACCTTTAAATTACCAGTTCCTCCCACATTTGCCTTGTCTTTATCTTACCTAGTGCCTTTCAACTCTATTGACAGGCCCCAAATTGCAGGCCCAGATCATCCCTTACCCCATTCAGTATTTAACGTGGCAGAAAATATACCAGTAGCTTATACCAGGAGTGAACTTTATACATTTATTCCACTACCACTGATTTAAAATGCTCTCTATCCATCTTCCTAGGTTACGTTTGTTTTGATCTCCCACTCTATAGCTTATTCAGTAATTTGGCCTTGTAACTCATCTAGGTTTGAGTCCCCACCCTAAACCTTGCCTACTTCTTGCCAATTTTCTCTGCCTAGAGTCTTTCTGAGCCCACTCCTGGTAGCCTACCAACTGGCAAAACATAAACACATCAAGATGATGATGAACACTATGCTTGACCTCTGTATAGGAATCTTCCTAGAATTTCTTGTTGCTAAGTTGGATCTCTTCCTTCTGACTATTGTTTGAGGGTATGAACACTACTCCAGATAGTCCAACTATCCTGGTTGAAGTCCTGCCCTGCATTCTGGTCAGGTTCCCTTAGCACCTAGCCTAACAATGGGTCTGGTCTGTACTTGGCCCAGCTTCCTCTCCCTTTATACTCTGTGGCTGAATCCATATATGATTGGTCTTTGTTCATTATATGATGGGTACTGCAAAAAGCTCAATCAAGTTTCTATCAATGATAGCTGAAATTTCTTGTTAGTAGAGACATAGCCTATTTATTTATTTATTTTTGGTACTGGGGATGAACCCAGGGGTCCTTTACTACTGAGCTACATCTCTATATTTTTTATTTGAGACAGTGTCTTGCTAAGTTGCTTAGGGCCTCATTAAATTTCCCAGCTTGGCCTCAAACTTGTGATCTTCCTGCCTCAGGCTCCCAAGTTGCTGCACCTTTAGAGATAGGGGAATATATCTGTAGGTTTTATCTGTAAAAATGAACATGTTCTAGACATCTTAGAGTGTGCTAGGCTAAGCTGTGTCAATGAGGAAACTCAAATGTGTACTGTCTCAACACAATAGTTTCTTTGTCACATAGCAATCTTGTGGGGTTTTTCAGTCAGAAAGGCTGTTCTCACCATAGTCATTTGGAGATTCAGAATTTTCTCATTTTGTGGGCCTTCAAATCCTTAGGACCTCATTGGCATCTATACCTAGGTAGTAGAAGATAAGAACAAGCCTGGAGTCAGATGTTTAACTGAAAATTTTAATCTGTAGGTGGTGTCTTATACTAATTCTCATATGTCTTTGGTCAGAATTCGATCACATGGTTACATCTGATTTCAAGGAGACTGGGAAATGTAGTTTAGTTATTTTACCAGGAAAAATCAGAGAAAAGATTTTGGAGGATAGCTGATAGTTTGTGCCATAACAAATAAGGATAACACACCAATTTATTTTTGGCCTTGATACATTAATAAGTTTTTTCATTAAATCACTAATATCATGGAAAGCAAATTAAAAATTGCCGCAGTCCGACTGCAGCAAAATAACTGGGGGGGTGACGAACAACTTGTGTAGGTTGATACAGCAGGAGTGGGAGCTGTTTATTGTAGGACAGGAGGGGTATATATACATTCCACACAGCTTATCTAATTAACATAAACTAGATACAGCAGTCAACCAATAAGGAATCTCCGCACTTAATGGCTCGCTGGCGTTACTTCACAAACCACTCCCTCTGGCAAAATGCCAGGTGCCATCTTGACTTGTTTACAGACTCTAACATTTTCTCCTTTTGTTTAATTTAAATAACGACCATAGTAGTTTTTACACAAACACCATAAATAATCTGCTACAAACAGAAGGGCCACCAAATACACCAGTCTGGCTGGGCACAAAATCACGAGCCACTCACAGCCTTGTAGATTCAAACAGCAATTCTTTATTCCCGAAACTCTCACCGGCACTCTACACACACGTTCTGGGGAAAATCCACACCTCCACTGGGCTCTGCATCCCAAATACTCTCTGAATCCCACGAGAACTCAACGGGAACTCAAGGAGCAGGTGGGCGCCTGAGGCAGCAGGATACTCCTTATTCCCAGCAGGATACACCCTAAACCTGGACCCACCCTAATCCAGCAGGATCCTCCCTAAACCCAGATCCACCCTGGTCCTTGAGCAGGGTCACCTTTCTCAAACATTCATGCAATGTCACTGCAAATGACCTGGGTCCAAGGCAAGCCCATTTCCACAATGGAGAGTCCTCCCTCTAAGCAACATTGGGTAGGCTGACAAAGAAATTGCCATGTGTCATTCCTACTTGGCTATGGCTCTCAGCAAAAAATAACACAATATGGGCTACATCAGAAGAGTAAAATGGAGGGAATAAGGGGAATACATCATGAATATATGAATCATTAATGGGAAAGGTAAAATTTCTTTGAGGTGGCAATTTTGGGGGTGTGGCAGAGCAAGGCTGTGTGAAGCAAAAGCAGCTATGGAGATCCTCAGCCACTGGTTCTTTGTGATCATGCTGGGAGAATTTCAGACAGGTTACATGTAGTTGCAGGCAGGAGTTTATTGTTAGGGAAAGAAACAGGAAAGAAGGAAAACTATCAGTGGAGAAAGGAAGAAAGTAGGTCTTCTTATGGAGGAGAGAGATGGCATGCCCTTCCTGCCCTCCTCTTTTATTGGGGGTCCCAAGGAAGTTTCCAGAGGGTGCCACCTGGGCCCACCTTTTGAATTTTGACTGACAGAAGGATTACATCAGAATTTAAAGTTCCCACTGCACATGATTTTACTCCATAGAGGGGATATTTTACTATTATAATGACATGCTAAAGATCCAAGGAAAGTCTGGGTCACCTTGACCTATGCTGACCTGTTCTAATTGGTACTTGTTCTTATATTTTTTATGGGGAGAGGGTTTCAATTCTAATTATGCTGTCTCCCCGAGTCCTGGAATCTGGTCTGTGTAAAGGTCACAGAAGTCTTCCTTTCAGGGTAACCTGTGTTGTTCTTATTGGCAGGGAGGGGCCTTTGGGTCTGCATTTATCCTGCAGATAGTAGGTTGTTTGCTAAGGAGTGTAGCATATCCTATGGACATAAGCTAGTCAGGGATAGAGTGGTCTCCAGTAAATTGCTTTTTAAAAGAAAGCATATGGGGGTCAGCACAGTAGACTCAGTGTATAGAATTTCCCCCTTAACCTCTTGTTCCTACTGCTCATATCTGTCTGCTACCTATAAGGGGGACAGGACTCTTAGAAAGTGAGGGATCAAGCCAGTTGTGGTGGTGCACACCTGTAATCCCAGCAGCTGAGGAGGGTGAGGCAGGAGGATCACAAGTTCAAAGCCAGCCTCAGCAACAGTGAGGCACTAAACAAGTCAACCAAGATCCAGTCTCTAAATAAAATACAAAATAGAGCTGGGGATGTGGCTAAGTGTTTGAGTGCCCCTGGGTTCAATCCCCACCCCTGCAAAAAAAAAGTAAGTCAGGGGTCAATATGAAAGTACATGGAATGGGAAAAATAAGGGGATGGAAACAAAATAAAAATAAAAAGGACATCTCAGTTTTCTTTCAGGCTAGCCTGTTTATATACTCAAAACTCTTGCCAAGGGAATGTCTTCAATACATGAGTAGTTCAGTTCTGTGCATATTTCTGCCGATCATCTTTCTTTGTGAAGGAGAGGGAGCAAAGTACTCCAAAAGCCCAGATTTTCAGTGTGCTCCACAAGTATCCTGCTTCTTCTAAGATTTTTCAGCTCAGTTCCAAACCAGAAGAATTAAAATCTCATCATTTTCATCATTATCAGGTGTTAGCTCAGGTCACAACATAACAATAATTTTCTTAAAACTATCTATTTGGTGTCAAGCTGCCTGCTAGGAGCCTTAATTTGTATGAGACAATTTTTTTTTGTATAAGAATGGGTTTCATTTCCTGTTGGACTGGCTGCTTTACATGAACAAGTACTGACCTCAAGTTCATTTACATTCTCCCTTCCCCTACAACAATACAAACTACAAGAAACTGACTGGCACTAGTGACTGACTGACACATCCTTAGCCAGCAGGGAACAGGGAGGTGAGTAGGAGGGTGGAGGTTGCCAAGCAATGTGCCTCAGATGTTTTCTGCAGAGCTGTTAATGGGGCTGAATCCAATTTGTGTTTAGCCTGCAAGCACTTTGCAAAGGTAGATGGGAGGCAAAGGTCTGGAGATGCAAAGGCAATAGAAACTGTAGATTTTGCTTTTGTAGCTTATGTCCTGAATACACTCACTAGATAGGAAAAGAATCATTGAAGGTGGAGAGTCAAGGGCAGTCATCCATTCTGGATGAATACATTTCTAAGGATCTTATGGCCTTATGAGTGTAGATAGTTATCCATGTAATGTAATGTGAGGAGTGCTCCAGAATGTCCATTTTCTTTCATTGCCTGAAATCCCATCATTGAAGATCATCACCCTTTAAGAACTTTCTAAAGTAATTTTAATAAACTGTTTATTTAATCAACAATTATACAGTACTTAGTATACACAAGTTCTAAGGGCCTTATATACGTATTATCACACTTAGTCCTTATAGTAAACACTATGAGGTAGGGTCTATATTTAGTGCTCTCATTTTACAAATGAGAAAAGAGAGAACGTGTCCCAAGAACATACACCTAGTAAATGGCAGAGCCAGGATTACAAACCAAGGCAGTATGGTGCCAGAGTATGTGTTCTTATCATTATATTCTACTGTCTGTGAACATAGTATGTTACATTTATTTTGGGGAAGTATAACCTATTATAGCAGAAATTTGTTTACCTGATTATACTATCATCCATTCTAGCTACCAGAGAGCAGAAGAATTC